GTCGTAAAATCCGTTTTTTATCATGGGCACCGAGGCTTTTTGGCTAGGTCGTTAAACATTTTGATTTTTTGCAAGTACCGGGAAGTCAGCCCGATGACTCAACCCCCAACCTGGAGGACCAGCGTTTGAATTCGGAGTGCGCTCTCCTAGATTGGTTGCCTTCACTACGACTAAGAGCCCAATCTACCCTTCTCTGGGTGGTTTATGCGCCTAGAAGCCGGTGACCAACTCCAGTCTCATCGCTACCGCCAAGTCAAAACCACACCATGAGAATGACAAGTCGTTCAGTCACAGTTGATAAAACGCTTATTGCTTGATCGAATGCATAGAATATAAGAGAATGCCAAGTGGTGTAGAAAATTGGCGAATTATTAGCGTCTTTTACTATAAAATTTTACAGAAGTGACTAGATGGAAAAATCGATAACAAAACTAAAACGACTATCTTTAGGGGCTTATTCTGTAGAGAGAGAAGTTGTACCGAAGTTCAATCGATATGAAATATCAAACATTTCCTAACTATCAAGCATTTTTTATCATCCAGCGTGCGGGCTTGTGCCACAAAACCGCTGTTGCACGGAAGTAAATGGAATATCGAAAATTCCGTAACTACGATAGAATAGCTGTTTCTCGGGCGTGCCGAGAAAGCCACCGCGGAGTCTCGCTGCTAACACCTCTCCGATTTTCACGCTTTCCCGGATTCACCGCGAATTTCCCGTCCGATCTGCCAACCGCGCCAGTTTGTGCTGCCCTCTTTTAATGCAGCTTCATTTATCTTACGGAGCGAACAAAAATACTCCTCGACCCTCCCTCCTTCCCCTCCGCCTCACCGCGCCATCTTTCACCCTCTCCCACTCCAGCGCTTTCCCCCTCGTCAAAAATCAGATTCCTCATTTTACTAATTTATGCGGAAAAGCGGTCGGAGGTGTAAGCCGGGAAATAAATCACTACTCCTGACCCGAAGTCGGTGTACTTCCTTCCGTGCGAACCCCACACCGAAACGCGAAGGTTTACGTATACGTAAGGATATGTATGGGTATTTTGAGGTTCATCCGCGGGGACTGGAGAACCTACTTTATGTTCGGGGGATGAGCTTCGCCAAAACCATCCCATTTTCGACGGGACAGGCTGTGTTCGTGCTCGTAGCAAGGATTGCCTTTTTTCTCGTTCTGATTTGAATTATTGAGATGAATGGCTGAGTATTCCAGTATGATCGTTTACTTACGCATTTAAAAGTTCATACTGGCAATAGACCATTCTTGTTCACTTATTGTAATAAGTAATTCATCAAGAATTCTTGCGCATTTAAACTTTCAACGCTCGTAACAGGCCATTCTTGTTCACTTATTGTGATAAGAAATTCACCAGATTCCATGGTTTACAGATGGATCCAAGTATTCTTGTGTATTTAAACATTTGACGCTGGTAACAGGCCATTCTTGTACACTTATTGTGATGAGAAATTCACCAAATTCTGTGGATCACAGATCGACTGGAACACTCATATGACCTCTTGCGCACCTTAACATTCAACTTTGTCGCATCAGGCCATTCTTGTACACTTATTGTGTGTGATAAGAAATTCACCAGATTCCGTGGTTTACAGATGGATCTAAGTATTCTTGTGTATTTAAACATTTGACGCTGGTAACAGGCCATTCTTGTACACTTATTGTGATAAGAAATTCATCAGATTCTGTGGATCACAGATCGATTGAAACACTCATACGACCTCTTGCGCACCTAAACATCCAACATTGGTAACAGGCTATTCTCATGCACTTATTGTGATAAGAAATTCACCAGATTCTGTGATTTACTGATGGACCTAGGAATCCTGTACCCATTTATTCATTCAAAATTGGCAACAGGACATCCTCATACACTTCTTGTGATAAAAAATTCATCAGGTTATGTGGTTTGCAGATGAATTCACACGGTTACTGTCATTACTGTCTCTATGCTGTGGAAGGAAATCAACCCAGCTCTTTAATTTTCGAACAAATATACAGAGTCTCCTGGTTCTCGTGCACTTACCATGATAAAACATCCAGAGGGGGAAGATTCTTAAGACGAAGGGGTAAGAAACGATAACGTTCCTTACCTCGCCGCCATTACGATTCCTCTCCAGCCAACTCAGGAATTTGGTGGGCAAGGTGTACTCCCTTGGCAACACCAAACGCTGAGGGGCTGGTTCCACTATTGCAGGATACTTCGCAGGTGCAACGATACGAGCAGCCGGGGCCGATACGAGGACGCTGAAACGGTGGGCCTCGTTGGGGAAGATCCTCACCATTCCCCTCATGAAATTATTCAAATTGATAGGCCGCTTAAGAACAGGGAGCAAATAATTATTTTGCCCATACTTTGAAGAGAAGGGCAAACGAAAATTGGCATTCCGCCTATATACACTTAGGTCTATAATGAACGACCCACCAACAAATGCGGTGGGACAAAAATTAATACAGTGATCCTTAAAGGCTAAAAGAAAATTTTTAAGAGTAGACATTTGATTAAAATAAACGATTTCACTTAAAATTGCATGGTACGACACTTTTCTGGGTGTCGTCGCACGATATATTTCAAAATAACTTATATCTACCTTCTTTTTCGTACTAACTATCTTAAAATTAATAAAATTGACTAGATCATTGAGTACATCTGAAACAATAGGGATTGGTGATAAAGATGGATGGGGATTAATAAATTCTATATCTAAAAACAACTTAAACGGGTAGGACTCACGGACGACTTCATACGTGTACCTTTGTTGGCATGGTCAAGATGAATATATAAATCAAAATCAAAAATACAAAAGTACAAAAATATAATTAATACAACATATTTTCAGATTGACAAATGAACTTTTCTTTTGGTACCTTAATCTACTTCGGTACCTTGTGGGTGGGGCTTTTTTGCAACTGGTTGACCGCAGGAGCACTTCGTATCCAGTAAACGAGATGCTACCTCGGGGGCATGGGCATACCTTTGTTGGCATGGTCAAGATGAATATATATATCAAAATCAAAAATAAAAAAGTACAAAAATATAATTAATACAACATATTTTCAGATTGACAAATGAACTTATCTTTTGGTACTTTAATCTACTTCGGTACCTTGTGGGTGGGGCTTTTCTGCAACTGGTTGACCGCAGGAGCACTTCGTATCCAGTAAACGAGATGCTACCTCGGGGGCATGGGCATACCTTTGTTGGCATGGTCAAGATGAATATCGTTAAGCTTCATTGAATATTTATTCGTAAGACGAAAGCATGACGAGTATTAAATAGAATGTCCACTACATATTGTCGTGACAGGTATTTGTTGATTAAATAAAAGGGTAAGAAACGTAATATACAAAGCACTTAAGACATCTCATTTATTGCAGGCGTGCTGGCAGGGCGCATGGACGCAATAACATAACCTATTGTTATAATTTAGTAACCAACGTCATTTCACAAACTTGCAACAACGAGGTATGTAAAAAGTCCGGCCCATCATTTTGTGCCGACTTGTTTGATGAGTAATACTCACAGAAAGTACTCACTTTTTTTCTGGCGCCCTGTTCGGAAACCGATACTACCGTGTCTAATAGTCTTGTTGTAATTTTAGTAGTACGATCCGACTTTCTGTAATCTTTTCATATAATTCGAATCATTGTCCTCATCTGCAACACTAATAAACTACTTCACGCATTACGCCAAACAGTGCGGTCGGCGCAGCGCCTACAAGACTGCATGAATACTTCTTGCATTGCGCCGAACGCAGTGCAGTCGGTCAGTTGGCTTCAAACGCATACTACCGCCTAGAAGACTATAGAAATGCTGCAGGACTGCGAGTCATCATTCTTGATTTCCTGCTCCAGTTTCTACCGTAATTAAAGGGCAAATTTTTATCCTCATTTTAACGATTCGGAATTGTTCTATTAATTTTTAATTTGTTTTGGTTACATTAAAAGAAAACAGAAGGAACGAAAGTATCGCGTCGAAATTTTCTATAGTTTTATTTGAGATCATTGAGGTAAATTCGCGGAAACTATTCAGAAAAACGATGTGTAGCTTTTTAAAATAATGTATCGAAAATAAAGTATAAAAGTGGTGCATAACGTTGCAATTAGATATAAATATACGCTTTCTTTCGGGTGCATCCGTTGGATCTTGAATCCATCCGTCTCTCAAATAACTTGAACATGGTTGTTGTACAATTTTTTACATGCAGTTTTTTTTCAATGGTTGGCGGCCGCGTAATGGCCACAGGCCCCTAGTTCACTTTTTAAAGGTCTCTGAAAGCTCTCTAGGCCATTCGTACTGCGAGGGCTGTCCATCGAAGAGAGACATGCCCGTAAGTGAGGAAGGGATGAACAGTCCTCCGCGATGTATAGCTTTCTACTACAAACTACAAAGGTTGCCAGATTAACGTTTTCTCGTTGAATGTTGAATAAAATTCGCGAAAACATGTGAGTTTTCAGTACCAGAAAAATTCGCGCAATCCTATGCATCTCCAAAAAGGTAAATAAGGGGGCATTCGCGAAGTCCTACCGCAGCCAATTGCGAAATCCGTCGTCAAAATGATTCGTGGCACCATCAAGTTATGCAACCGCAACCACTCGCGCGCGAACGATAAGCCACCTCCTTTTAGGGGCGCAAGTGTGCCCCTGCCTCTATCTGAAAAACCGTGCCTGAGCATCTGTCGATCGATCGGAATTTTTAAATTTTTCCGAAATTCATATCATCGCATCTCAATGAACACATGCAGCATTGGGAGTTTGTTTTATCTTTTCAAAATGATAACACGAGTATTTCTGAATAAACGAGAGATCAGTTCTCGAGAACAGCTACAGAATATTCACCGGAATAGCCCATGTTTTTTGTAACAAGTTTTCTTTTGCGGAGAACTTAGTTTTCCCCGGCATCTACAGACTTATTACAATTTTCAAGTATCTTCCAAGAATCTGATACTCATTTTTTAATTTGTTTCATGCGTTCGAATGCAATGCACAGGGCAAAAACTTGGTAAGTAGTCTTGCAGTATACGCTAAAGTGGTGTCCATTCCTCGAGTTTGCTCAAGAGATGCTTTGTGAATTGTTTGCATCCAGTTTGCGACTAAAATATTACACACCTAATTTAGGAACTTGAAGATGATGTAATGAGATAACTTGTGCATGTCTTTTTTAAATTTATTCGCACTTAAATTGAAAACCGGAAGTCCAAAATAAAGGTAAATGACCAACTTAATTTTGAACTGAGGTCCACTTCTGTACGATGACATCCAGTCTCACTTATTTTCCGCTATTATGAAGGCAGATTCACTTACTATTAGAATTCGTGCCTACACTTTTTCCTTTTTTCTGATGCACCGATAAGAATCTTAGTTGGAGCCTTTGTTTATGGGCTGTTCACCGCAGAAATTGCCCAAAACTTGCCATGCAGGACTGCGTGATATCTCCAATCCGCATTGATGAGACTATTTTTTTTTCCAAGCCGAAATTTCGGCAAATGGCCAACAGTGCACACCGCTGTCAAAATTCGAATTTCAATAGAATTTGAACATAATGAAGCTCAAATTTAACGAAGAATACCAATACTGTATCATATATGTGCTTGTTCATTGAAACCAAATCCTGATAAATACTCAAAAATCCCACCGAATAAGAAATGAAAAATTGGACTTTTGGGAGAACTTACCCATATCACAATCAAAGGCTTTTTTACTTTGATAAAAAGCAAATTGATTGTGAATTGACGTTACTGCCGTCTTACTTCCTCAAAAATCTGTTTCCGTATTTTCCATGCTCAGTCAAGTTAAGAACAAACACGTGGAAAACACAGTGATTTGAAAAAAGACTTGGAATGACGGGAGAACCTTCTCAAATCACGATCAAAGTTGGCTTTTCCTTCCGATGGCGAAAATTAAAGTGACTGTTTAACTGTTGTGCTAACCCTTGCTGTCCTTTTTTTTCGGTGGCGATTCCGGAGGAGACACGTGGAAAACATTCGTTTCTCAGGCTGCATATGACAGTCCAGGCAGCTTGCCGTATAAACGTATTGAAACGGTGTAAATCCATTAGCTAAGTTAGTTTCAGGATTATAAGAAAATACATAGATAAGTAAATTTCCTTCTCATTTTAAGGCAGTATTACTTGTTCGAGATAATTCGTTTAGCATTATTTTATGATTTTTTTTCGATGTATCGAAGGACTAGTGATGAAATGAAGCGGATTTGCCCGTTTCCACTCGTGAAATTCACTGGGCACTACGTTCAAGACGTCTCAAACTTCGCCGCACCAAATGCGATCATTTAGAAAGGGACCCGAGCGAGGGATCTCTTTTCGCGATTGTCTAAAAGCGCCGTTGCTCGACGGGAATTTCGGGATGGGCGGTCGTCCCTCACTCTTCGGGCGCGTTCTGTCCGTCCCTGCATTTGAGATCAGCAGATGATAAATCGTAGGGACGAAATAATCAATAAGGGCAGCGCTCTGTCCCGTCGTGACCGGTCGAGCGACAGCCTCCCAGCGAAGGAGCTTTTGACATGTAAGAAGCATGGAATGTATATGCAGCATACGATATTCGCTGAATGAACACTAACTTGAACGGATGTGAAGGAGATTAATTAGGGAAATATTAAGCCAATTCATGCAAGATTCTCTTCCTTGTCGGGGACATTTTATAGAATTCACAATTTCGATCAAGCAATTGCCCTTTTTATGATGCATTTTGCAGGATTTCCTTAAGTTCCCTTTTTCCACAATGAAATAACAGCTTCATCTGAGACAGGCTGCAGCAACAACACAAAAGGTGAACTAAAAACCCGAGACGTTTTGAAATATATGATAATTTCATTTTCAACTGGACCCAAAAAGTGGAAAAATGTGTCGTCGATTCGTGCTTACTGCGACACCGAGACTCCCAACAATAGGGAATCATTTTAGTTAATAACTTTTGGTTATTAGAAATAATCATTATGGTTAATAACTCAACCGTTACCAAATCACAGCAAAATTCCGGTTTGTATGTATCCTGGGTATGTCGCTATGAGCGTCGTTGTTGTATCCGATACCTAATTACATTAATCTAATGAAGTTTCGGCCTGGACCGAAGAGATTACGTCGCAATGACCGATATGTCGTTATAATCGATGTCGTTGTCCGCGATATCCACTGTGGTCGTACATGCTGTATATTTTGAAATGCATCGGGTTTTTTGACCTATCTTTTGTGTTGTTGTTGCAGCCTTTTTCTCGAATCAAAAAAATATTCTATCATGTACTGCGGCCGATTACGTTGTTGATCATTCTTACATAATAATGTAGCAGTGGCGGATCCGGGGAAGGGGGCAAACGGCATGCGCCCCCCCCCCCTCTTCTTCGGGTAAAGAAGTACACCACTAACGTGGTAAACGCTCGATAAAGGCTTGTTGAACTCGATGGATTTCTCTGCCAATTGTCGTACCCTGAATATGGCATCGTTGGTGCCTCTGTTTTTTCGAAACCCTTGCTGTCCCTCGGCCATATGCACAATCTGCTCCAAAATATCTTTGAGAACGGATGTAAATAGCTGTAATAGGTACGTATAGGTACATCGTCACCTTCCAGGCAAAGTATCACAAGCGCCATGCGACGTTTAAAAATTTCCGCCGCCATTTTATTTCTTTACTGAGAAATTGTTGGTTGAATCTGTTTGGAAATTTCACTAAATTTTATCGGCAGCACAAAGACAATTCAGTGAAATTTTCGGACAGCTTCGTTTAACAATTTCTCCGTAAAGAAATAAAATGGCGACGGAAATTTTTAAACGTCGCATGGCGCGTGTGATACTTTGCCTGGAAGGTGACGACATATAGGTACTACATATAGGGTGTACTTAGTACACCCTATATGGCTCTCTGAGGAAAGGAGCTGGCGAAGTAACGACTAGAAATACGGCTCTGAATCCCAGTTAGAACCATGTAGGTAGGGTCTGCTAAGGTTAAATAATGGTTAAATAACGACTACGTTCACAGCTTTTAGAATAAACGCTCCTAGAAGTACCGTTATCCGGTTTTACATCATACAAGCCGGAAGTATCCATCGGCAAGGATACGATTCAATCGCGGCATACGACTCTTTCTCCGCGACCAGCGACGTAGTATGGCAACGGCGCGGCGGCTGTCAGGAACTTTGAAACGTAGCCGTATTTGCATTTCCCGATTTTCCGCTTGTTTCCGACATGATCGAGCCCGCGCCTTGGTCGTGTCACGGAACTCCTACCCCCGCCGCCGCCGCGCCGCGCCGCCGAACGGGAAACCGTGTCGGATTTACATTGTAAATGCTCCGAATGTGCATTAACTAACGTCGATTTAACGCCACCCAGAGGAAACCCACGTTCCGCAGCTCCTCGCTTTTCCTCTCGCTCCGGGCGACGTTTCCCGCCTCGACGGCGCACAGTGGAGCGGGTCAACGCGAGACGTCGGACAAGATCTGGAAACTTTGATAGCTCATGTTTCTGTTAGTACATAACCTAAAAGCTTGAGGTGATTCGATGGACGGCATATTTTGTGTCAGAACGGCATGCGATACATCGCATCAATTGGTTCCATTATTTCAGCTACTCGTCATTTTTCTCCAATTTTGAGATCGCAATTCTGTTGTCAGGAGACTAAAGCACTCACTTATCAATTTTAACAAAGAAATTCAACGGAATAAAGATGTGGTTTTTACAGAGAGAAAACATCGCAATCGAGTGCAGTTTCGATATCAGTATCGAACACGATGTTTTCTCTCTGAAAAAACCACGCCTTTATTACGTTGAATTTCTTTGTTGAAATTGGTAAGAAGTGAGTGCTTTAGTCTCCTGACAATAGAATTGCGATCTCAAAATTGGAGAAAAATGACGAGTAGCTGAAATAATGGAATCCAATTGATGCGATATGTCGCATGCCGTTCTGACACCTTAAAGTTGTTCTATCTGAGGAGTTCTCGGAGGCGGCGTCCTCGAAGGCGGCTTCTTCTTCTTCTTCTTCTTCTTCCTCGTGGACGGCGCCGACGCTGGCAACAACCGGTTCGACCGAAAAAAGTAAATCATTGAATTTAAACTTTCATTCATTCTGCTTCAAAAGGGTGTGGGGGGTGGCTCCGTCAGGGAATTCATTTCATCGGTCACTGCCCGAATCCCTCTCGGCTGTGAGAAAGAAACAGAAGTTTGCACCGTCGCAGCAATCATAATTAGTTGTGTGAAAATAAGAGAGTAAATCAAAATTTGTGAGTTATGAAAGAGCGTCACTGCCCGAATCCCTCCCGGCTGTGAGAAAAAAACAGAAGTTTGCACCGTCGCAGCAATCATAATCAGTTATGTAAAAAATAAGAGAGTAAATCGAAATTTGTGAGTTATGAAAGAGCTTCCTCAAGATGCTGATAAATGATATGAAGATTGGGCGGTCCTTTTGAAAGCATGAGTTGTCCCGTCATAATCACATAATCATCTTTACCCCCTTCAGAATCATCAGAAGCATCGTTGTTGGTGAAGCATGGTGGAGAATTTCTTCGCCCTCTTCCTTTTAAGGAATTAAGAACATAAATTGTGTATGCACGAACAGCCTCTGCAGGACTGAGCCATTCATCTATTCATCATTAATTGGGAGTAAAGATAAAACTTGTTCAGGTGATCAGTTTATATTTACAAGGTGTAACAATTTGCATAATATCAGCAACATTGGAATGCTCTTGGTTTCTTTTTGCAGAATACAATTTACTTTTCCTCCACTTACCAGTGGATTCTCGTCAAATTACACCATGGCCATTTCGGATCTATGCTCTATCCTCAGGTGTAAAACTAGTTTTTGCCCTAGATTTAGGGAGATCATTCAGATGTTGATCACCGGATGACATGTCACTAACCGTAGAAAACAATAGAACAAATCAGAATAAATAAAAATGTGTGAAAGAGCAAAAAACATCAAAATGGTAGAAATGAAATCTTAACGGAAACAGAAAAGAAAAACAACAATCAGTCTTGTCAAGACTGCTTCAAACTTAAAT